CTCTGTCACCCAGGCTGGAGTGTAGTGGCATGATCTCAGCTCACTGCAACTTCTGCCTTCTGGGTTCAAATGTTCCTCCTGCCTCAGCCTCCTTAGTTGCTGGGACTACAGGCATGTGCCAAGACACCTGGTTAATTTCTGTATTTTCAGTAGAGATGGGGTTTCACCATGTTGGTCGGGCTGGTCCCAAATTCCTGGCCTGAAGTGATCCACCCACCTCGGCCGTCCAAATTGCTGGGATTACAGGTGTGAGCCACCATGCACGGCCAACAGATCTTCAGAGTAGATGAAATACCTTTATATTGGAAGAATATACCATCTAGGACTTCCATGGCTACAGAGCAACTATGAAATGCCTGATTTCAAAGCTTCAAAGGATGGGCTGACTCTCTTGTTAGGGGCTAATGCAACTTGTGACTTTAAGTTGAAGTCAATGCACATTTACCATTCCAAAAGTCATACTCTACCTGTGGTTGTTCAATGTAATAACAAAGCCTGGATGACAGTACATCTGTTTAAGCATGGTTTAGTGAATACTTTAAGACCACTGTTGAGACTTACTGCTCAGAAAAAGATTCCTTTCAAAATATTACTGGTCTTTGCCAATGCACCTTGCCACCTAAGAACTCTGATAGAGATATAAAAGGAGATTTATGTTGTTTTCATTCCTGCTAACATCCATTCTGCAGCCTATGAATCAAATAATAATTTCGACTTCCAAGCCTTATTATTTAAGAAAGTCTATAGCAGCCAGGCACAGTGGCTCACACCTGTAATCCCAACACTTTGGGAGGCCAAGGCAGGTGGATCACCTGAGGTTAGGAGTTCAAGACCAGCCTGGCCAACACGGCAAAACCCCATTTCTACTAATGGTGCAAAACTTAGCCAGATATGGGGACACATGTCTATAATCCCTGCTACTCAAGAGGCTGAGGCAGGAGAATCGCTTGAACCCGGGAGGCGGAGGGTGCAGTGAGCCGAGTAAGCACCATTGCAGCAAGAGCGAAATTCCTTCTCCCAAAAAAAAAAAAAAACCCAGAAAGAAAGAAAGGCTGTAGCTGCCATAGACAGCAATTTGTCTGATGGGTATGGGCAAAGTAAATTGAGAACCTTCGGGAAGTAATTCACCATTCTAGGTGCCATTAAGAACATTTATGACTGATGGGAGGGCAAATCAGCAACATCAACAGGAGTTTGGAAGAAGCGGATTCCAATCCTCATGGATGACTTTGAGGAGTTCAAGATTTCAGTGAAGGAAGTAATTGCAGATGTGGCAGAAACAGCAAGAAAACTAGAATTACACATGGAGCCTGAAGATGTGACTAAACTGCTGCAATTTCATGATAAAACTTGAGTGAATGAGAAACTGCTTTTATTTTATTTTATTTATTTTATTTATTTAAAGATGGGGTTTCACCATGATGGCCAGGCTGGTCTTGAACTCCTGACCTCAGGTGATCTGATCCACCCACCTCGGCCTCCCAAAGTGCTAGGATTACAGGCGTGAGCCACTGAGTCCGGCCGAGAAACTGCTTTTAATGGATGGGCAAAGAAAGTAGTTTCTGAATATTACATGAATTTAGTTGAGGCTGGGCACAGTGGCTCACACCTGTAATCCCAGCAGTTTGAGAGGCCAGAGCGGGCCAATCACCTGAGGTCCAGAGTTTGAGACCAATCTGACCAAAATGGAGAAACCCTGTCTCTACTAAAAATACAAAAATTGGCAAGGTATGGTGGTGCATGCCTGTAATCCTAGCTACTCAGGAAGTTGAGGCAGGAGAATTGCCGGAACCTGGGAGGCAAAGGTTGCAGTGAGCCGAGATTGTGCCATTGCACTCTAGCCTGGGGAACAAGAGCAAGACTCTGTCTAAAAAAAAAAAAAAAAATTTAGCTGATAAAGGAGTGATAGGGTTTCAGAGGACTGACTCCAATTTTGAAAGTTTTATTGTGGGTAAAATGCTGTCAAACATCATTGCATGCTACAGAGAAATCTTTTGTGAAAGAGACAACTGATGGGGCAAAAGGGCAAACTTCACTGTTGTCTAATTTTAAGAAATTGTGACAGTCACTCTAACCTTCAGCAACCACTACCCTGACCAGTCAGAAGTCATCAACATCAAGGCCAAGATCCTCGAGCAGCAAAAATACTATGACATGCTGAAGGCTCAAATGATCATTAACATTTAAAATATTTTAAAATTAAGGCATATACATTGTCTTTTTTAGACAGTGTTATTGCACACTTAATGGACTACAGTATAGCATAGACATAATTTTTTTTTTTTTTTGAGACGGAGTTTCGCTCTTGTTACCCAGGCTGGAGTGCAATGGCGCGATCTCGGCTCACCGCAACCTCCGCCTCCTGGGTTCAGGCAATTCTCCTGCCTCAGCCTCCTGAGTAGCTGGGACTACAGGCACGCGCCACCATGCCCAGCTAATCTTTTGTAGTAGTTTTAGTAGAGACGGGGTTTCACCATGTTGACCAGGATGGTCTCGATCTCTTGACCTCGTGATCCACCCGCCTCGGCCTCCCAAAGTGCTGGGATTACAGGCTTAAGCCACCGCGCCCGGCCAATTTTTTTTTTTTTAAAGACGGAATCTCATGCTGTCATCCAGGCTGGAGTCCAGTGGCACGATCTTGGCTCACTGCAGCCTTCACCTCCTGGGTTCAAGCCATTCTCCTGCCTCAGTCTCCTGAGTACCTGGAACTACAGGCACATGCAACCACACCCAGCTAATTTCTGTACTTTTAATAGAGACAGGTGTTTCCCCCATGTTGGCCAGGCTGGTCTCAAACTCCTGACCTCAGGTGATCCACCCACCTGGGCCTCCCAAAGTGCTGGGATTACAGGCATGAGCCACCATGCCAGGCCTAGACATAATTTTTATATGCACTGGGCACCAAAAAATTCATGTGATTTGCTTTATTAGAATATTTACTTTATTGTAGTGGTCGAGAACAAACCCCACAGTATCTTCAAGGCATGCCTATAGTTTATAACTTAATTATATAATTTACAAAATTATTTCACTCAAGGTAGGTAAGACAAATTTGAGTTTGATCGAATTTATCGTTAATGAACCTTATTAGAATTTTACAACCATAGACCAATCATGTGGATAACTATACACCATATTCAGTGATTTTTCTTCAAAAGTCCAACCTTTCATTTTTTATATACAGTTTTATTGACATATATCATAAAGTTCACCTGTCGTGTTTTTGGCTTATTTCTTTTACCAAATGTTAAGGTTTGTTTTTGTTTTTAACTCAGATGAAGTAACTCCTTGAGATTTAAATTCCTAAATGCAGACTCTAAAATGCTAGTGAATAATTAGTTATTATATAGAAAGTTCACAGAAAAAAACCAAGCAGTGCAAAAATCTTTTCCTACATAGTTTACTAAGAGCCTTATTCTCTAATACCTATCAAGAAATACAGATAAACCTTTGGTCTTAAGCTACTCCATGACAACCTTAACTACTTAGGCCACATCCTAAACATACTCTTTTTTTTTTTTTTTGAGACGGAGTTTTGCTCTTGTTACCCAGGCTGGAGTGCAATGGCGCGATCTCGGCTCACCGCAACCTCCGCCTCCCGGGTTCAGGCAATTCTCCTGCCTCAGCCTCCTGAGTAGCTGGGATTACAGGCACGCACCACCATGCCCAGCTAATTTTTTGTATTTTTAGTAGAGACGGGGGGTTTCACCGTGTTGACCAGGATGGTCAAGATCTCTTGACTTCGTGATCCACCCGCCTCGGCCTCCCACAGTGCTGGGATTACAGGCTTGAGCCACCGCGCCCGGCCTCATAGTTACTCTTAAGAAGCAACCTGGGAACTCTAAAAATACATATCTGTTGGTCCATACCCAGAAATTCTACAGGTTTAGCAGGTGTGAGAGGGGGACTAGAAATCTGTTTTGGCTCTTGTTTTAATTTTTTTAAGCTTAATCACTGATTTGGGTTATATTCTTAATGGCAAGGAAAGTCGTATAAATAGAATACTTTAAGAGATGCTGTGGGCCGGGCACAGTGGCTCACGCCTGTAATCCCAACACTTTGGGAGGCCAAGGCAGGCAGATCACCTGAGGTCAGGAGTTCGAGGCTAGCCTGACCAACATGGAGAAACTCTGTCTCTACTAAAAAATACAAAATTAGCCGGGCATGGTAGCACACGCCTGTAATCCAAGCTACTTGGGAGGCTGAGGCAGAAGAATCACTTGAACTTAGGAGGCAGAGGCTGCGGTGAGCCAAGATCGTGACATTGCACTCCAGCCTGGGCAACAAGAGCCAAACTCCATCTCAAACAAACAAACAAACAAAAAGACCATTTACCTCCTATGTGATTGCACAAGGCCGTAACAGAACACAGCAAAATATATTCACAGTGTTTTGTGAAAAATGTTAAGATACATTATAAAATGCTAAATCCTCAAAATCTTTTCTATGGTCTTTAAGTTTCAAATTTGAATACTATGGAAGGTAAACTCAAAAAAATGTATTACTCAACATAATAAAATTTTCACGAAGGACACCAACATTAGACATTAAAAGATGATGTGGCAAAGGAAAATTTTTGTTCTAGGTGTGACTAATCAGACTCTAATATAGTATATGTACAAACAGATATAGGTAGATATACACACATAAATATATATACATATACACAATGGAATACTTTTCAGACTTAAAAAGCAAGGAAATTCTGACACATACTACAACATGAATGAACTTTGGAGATATTACATTATGTGATATAAACTAGTCATGAACAGACAAATCCCAAATGATTCCACTTATATTAAGTACCTAGTCAAAGTTATGAAGACAGAAAGTAGACTGGTGGTTGCAAGAGGCTGAGGAATTATTGTTAAATGAATACAGAGTTTTAGCTATGCAAGATAAAAAGAATTCTAGAGATGCATGGTGATAATGGCTGCACAACAACATGAATGTACTTAATTGTACCGAAATGTGGAATTTAAAATAGTTAACATAGTTAAGATGGCAAATTTTACAATTTATATTTCACCACAATTAAAAATAATTGTAAAAAATTTAAGATTAAAGATTGAATTCTCGATTTTCTTTTCCTTTTATATTTATAAATGTATTTTTTTAAAAATTGAGACAGGGGTCTCACTATGTTGCCCAGGCTGGTCTCGAACTCCTGGGCTCAAATGATCCACCCAACTTGGCCTCCCAAAGTGCTGGGATTACGGTGTGAGCCACGGTGCCAGCCAGAATTCTAGATTTTAAAAAGCAGACTATATTTCATAAATAAATTTATGAAATTAGGTAGAATATAATCTGAAAAAACTAATTAGAATATTGGTGAACTAAAGTACATTCAATATAGCATTAATAATTTCATTTTTTAATTTTTCAAATTGTTATACATTACTTGTTTCTCACACTAGATATACACTGCATGTTGATTAAAGTTTGTTTAAACTGGCATTAAACAACATTTAAACCATTTTAAAGATCATAAGCCAAGTGTGGTGGCTCATGCCTGTAATTCCAGCACTTTGGGAGGCCGAGGCAGGTGGATCACTTGAGATCAGAAGTTCAAGACCAGTCTGGCCAACGTGGTGAAACCCCACCTCTACTAAAGATAGAAAAAATTAGCCAGGCATGGTGGCAGGTGCCTGTAATCCCAGCTACTTGGGAAGCTGAGGCAGGAGAATCACTTGAACCTGGGAAGTGGAGGTTGCAGTGAGCCAAGATTGTGCCACTGCACTCCAGCCCAGGGGACAGGGACAGACACCATCTCAAAAAAAAAAAAAAAAGAAAAAGAAAAAGAAAAAGAAAAGAAAAGAATAAAGATCATATCCAATATGATTTACTGTCAAGTACATCTTATTCTACTTTAATGTTTTAGAAACTGATAATCCTTCCAAGATAAACAGAGAATAATATTTAAAACCACAGTTTAAAAAATTAAAAGCAGGCCAAGCATGGTGGCTCACACATCTAATTCTAGCATTTTGGGAGGTAAAGGCAGGCAGATCACCTGGAGTCACGAGTTCAAGACCAGCCTGGTCAACATGGCGAAACCCTGTCTCTACTAAAAATACAAAAATTAAAAACAAAAACAAAAATTAGCTGGGTGTGGTGGTATACACCTGTAATCCCAGCTACTCTGGAGGCTGATGCAGGAAAACTGTTTGAACCTGAGAGGCAGTGAAGGTTGCAATGAGCCAAGATTGTGTCACTGCATTCTAGCTGAGGTGACAGAGTGAGAGACTATCTCAAAAAAAAAAAAAAATTAAAAGCAGGAGACACAATTAGGGGGGCTTTGGAGATACCAGTTATGCTCTGTTTATGGCTCTTGGTACTATTAGAGTTAGATGGGTACATCAGTTTGTGAAAGAAAATTCATTGAGATATATACTTAAGATTTATACAGTTCACCTATGTTAACAATAAAAAAATACCCACCCTTCCTCCCCAATTAAAAATAGTATGTCTTCCTCTAATATGCCAATAAGAATGTATATATTTATTCTGAGATAAATGCAAGAAAGAAAAAGAATGTACATATTTAACCTACCTCAGTAGACTGCTTTCCACTGTAAGACATTTTCTTGATGGCCACCACTTCATTGGTACGCACATCTCGTGCCTAAAGAAGAATAAAGAGGCACTGTAAAAATTAACAGGTGAAATTTAGGCAATGATTTATTTGCAGCTATAGAAGCATTTGTCAGCTACCATGTCAAAAAGGACATCAAAACCGCTTTCAAAGAAAATTTTAAAAATAACACTAAACAGTGATACTTACAAAATTATCCTGGAGCTAGTACTTTAGAAAAAAAATAAAGCAGATTTACCTTCGAGTAATCTAGTTGAGAAGAAAAATACAGCAAATCTGAGTAGTACTATAAACAAAGAGACAGTACAAGTTTATGCTAGAAATAGAAATCTCAGTGAAATAGACAACTTTTTAGGAAAGAATAAATTACTAAAACTGACCTGAAGACAAAAACATGAGTAAAACAATGAGAAAAGATTGAAAAGAATACCAAGGAATGACCTTTACCATACTCTTCGGTGAAGAGCAGTTTTACCACAGGAACTTTCCAGAATACGTAAGAGGAAAATAGAAAAGCTATCCCATTAATTTTACAAAGGCAATTTTTTTTTTGAGACGGAGTTTTGCTCTTCTTGCCCAGGCTGGAGTCCAATGGCATGATCTCGGCTCACCACAACCTCCACCTCCCGGGTTCAAGTGATTATCCTTCCTCAGCCTCCCGAGTAGCTGGGATTATAGGTATGCGTCACCATACCCAGCTAATTTTGTATTTTTAGTAGAGACGGGGTTTCTCCATGTTGGTCAGGTTGGTCTCAAACTCCCAACCTCAAGTGATCCACCTGCCTCGTCCTCCCAAAGTGCTGGGATTACAGGTGTGAGCTGCCCCGCCCAGCCCATTAATTTTACAAAGGTAATTTAACCCTATAAGCAAAACCTCACAAAGAGTACAAAATTGAAAGTTAGGTGTCAATTTCATTTGTAAATATAGATGGGAAAACTCTAAAATTAGCAAACCAAATTTTACAGGGCATTAAAAGATTTTTCCTTTGGATACAATATACTATTACAGTCCGGGTGGGGTGTCTCTCACCTGTAATCCCAGCACTTTGGGAGGGTGAAGCAGGTGGATCACCTCAGGTCAGGAGTTCAAGATAAGCTTGGCCAACATGGTAAAACCCTATCTCTATTAAAAATATAAAAATCATCCGGGTGTGGTGGCGAATGCCTGTAATTCCAGCTACTCTGGAGGCTTGAAGCTGGGAGGTGGAGACTGCAGTGAGTAGTGATAGTGCCACTGCACTCCAGCCTGGACAACAACAACAACAAACAAACAAAGAAAAAAAGGCTGGGCACGGTGGCTCATGGTTGTATTGTAATTCTAGTACTTTGGGAGTCAGGAGTTCAAGATAAGATCACAAGGTCAGGAGTTCAAGACTAGCCTGGCTGATACAGTGAAACCCCATCTTTACTAAAAACACAAAAATTAGCCAGGCGTGGTGGTGGTGGGTGCCCATAATCCTAGTCGGGAGGCTGAGGCAGGAGAATCGCTTGAACCCAGGAGGAGGAGGCTGCAGTGAGCTGAGATCACGCCACTATACCCCAGCCTGGGTGACAAAAATAAAATATAATAAAATTAAAATTAAATTAAATTAAATTACTATGACAGGAATGCAAAAGATTATGAAACTAAAAAACCTTTTGTAATTCACCACAGTTTTTAAAAGCCAAGGGGAAAAAATATATATAAACTCTCAATAAAAGCTGAAAATGTGAGATAGTCCTAACGCTAAATAAATTCAATTGTAGAGAAAGCCAAACTTAGAAAAACAAAATCAGCAAGGTAATTGCTCAACATATCATGTCTACTGAAAACAACTGCTAATCAAGATCAAGACAAGACTCCTTAAAATGCTATCACGATGATTATTTAATACTGTTGTTGAAATTCTGGGGGGAGAAAAAAAAACAGAAACATGACAGTTAACTCTTTAGAAAAGAGCCGAACTCTCACTATATTAAGAAGGTACAAAGTAATAGCTGCGAAATATTTAAAATGAGCTTAGTAAAAGGGTTAGAAACCATCTCAAAGCATCTTTGAAAAAACTTGTTTTCAATTCGGGTTCTAATGAATTCCCAAAGACAAAATGTTCTAAAAGTGGACTGTAGTGATGGCTTTTTGTATCTACTAAAAATAATTGAAATGTACATTTAAAACTGGTAGACTTATGGTATATAAATTATACCTCAAAACACTGGTTTTTTCTTTTTTTTTTTTTTTAAGGACAGCACCTGTAAAATTAAACCCCAATAAAGAGTGCTTTAAAAAATTAAATAAGGGCCAGGCACAGTGGCTCACACCTGTAATGCCAGCACTTTGGGATTACAGGCCAAGGTGGGCAGATCACATGGTCAAGAGTTCCAGACCAGCATGACCAACATGGTGAAATCCCATCTCTACTAAAAATACAAAAATTAGCCGAGTGTGGTGGTGTGTCCCTGTAATCCCAGCTACTTGGGAGGCTGAGGCAGGAGAACTGCTTGAACCCGGGAGGTGGAGGTTGCAGTGAGCCAAGATTCTGCCATTGCATTCCAGCTGGGTGACAGAGCAAGACTCTGTCTGAAAATAATAATAATTATTATTATTATATAAGATCAGGCACAGCGGCTTACGTAGGTAATCCAACATGGTGAAACCCCGTCTCTACTAAAAATACAAAAATTGGCCAGGCATGGTGGTGCATGTCTGTTGTCCCAGCTACTCAGGAGGTTGAGGCACAAGAATTGCTTGAACCCGGAAGGCGGAGGTTGCAGTGAGCTGAGATTGTGCCACTGCACTCCAGCCTGAGTAACAGAGGGAGACTCTGTCTCAAAAAAAAAGAAAGACAGAGCTTATTATCTGTGTTCTGCTACATGAATCCAGTGAAGAACTAATGACATTTTAATTTCATCTGCTGGTGTATTGGTTAATAGAAAACTGCACCACTTGCTGTAAAGGGTGAAGTGGATCTATTTACATAAGTCTTGTTAGATATGAATTTCTTTTTCCAAAATGTTCTCTACTCATCTATGAGTCCCCTGATTTTGATTAATAGGACTAAAAGGCCATATAACAGCTTCATTGAGAAATAATTCATATACCATATAATTTACCCTTTTTAATGTACACAATTCAATGACCATTAGTACATTCACAGATCTGTGCAACCATTTCAACAGTCAACTGCAGAACATTTTTTATCTCCTCACAAAGAAACCCTAAAATAGTTAAAAGTAAATTTTATATTATGTATATTTTACAATAAAAATATCTTCCTCCACTTAAAAGAGGGAAAAAAACCCATAAATTATTTATTAGTATTATTAATTTTGAGATAAGGTCCGGCTCTGTCACCCAGGCTGGAGTGCAGTGGTGTGATCATAGCTCACTACAGCCTCAACCTCGTGGGCTCAAGCTATCCTCTTACCTCAGCCTCTTGAGTAGCTGGGACTACAGGTATGCGCCACTGTGCCTGGCTAATTTTTATAGTTTTTGGTAGAGACAGGGTTTTGCCATGTTGCTTAGGCTGGTCTTGAACTCCAAGGCTCAAGCAATCCTCCCACCTTGGCCTCCCAAAGTGCTAGGATTACAAGTGTGAACCACATGGTGAAACCCCATCAGACCCAGCCTCCATAAACTCTAGCTATCAGTCTCCTGTCTCCTTATCTACCTCTCAGACCTAAGCAATATCTACTTTCTGTCCCTAGAGATTTCCTCATTCTGGAAATTTCATATAAATGTCATCATATATGTACTCTTTTGTAATTGATCTCTTTCATTTAGCATAATGCTTTCAAAATTCATGACTAATGAGGTTGAGGTTCTTTTTCATGTGCTCTTGGGCATTTGTATATTTTCTCTGGAGAAATCTTGATTCAGGTCCTTTGTCTACTTTTAAAATTAAGTGTCTTTTTATTATTGAATTGTAAGAGTTCTTCACATATTCAAGACCCAAGCCCCTTGTCAGATAAATCATTTGTAAATATCTTCTCCTGTTGTTTGTCTTTTCACTGTTTGAAGCAGGAAATTTTTTAAACTTGAAGAAGTTTTATTTATCCTGTTGTTGTTGTTCATACTTTTAGTGTCCCATTTAAGAAGGCTTTGATAAAACAAATGTTATGCAGGTTTACCCCTACATTTTCTTATAAGAGTATTTATAGCTTTAACTTCTAATCTTAGGTCTCTCATCTACTTTTTTTTTTTTTTTTTTTTTTTTTTTTTTTTTTTTTTTTTTTTTTTTTTTTTTTTGAGACAGAGTCTTGGTCTGTCACCCAGGCTAAAGTGCGATGGCACGATCTCGGCTCACTGCAACCTCCCCCTCCCGGGTTCAAGCAATTCTTTTGCCTCAGCCTCCCAGTAGCTGAGATTACAGATACACATCACCACACCCAGCTAATGAGACAGGGTTTCGCCATGTTGGCCAGGCTGGTCTCGAACTCCTGACATCAAGTGATCACTCGCCTTGGCCTCCCAAAATGCTGGGATTACAGGCATGAGCCACTGTGCCCGGCCCGAGTTAATTTTTATATATAGTACGACGTATCAGTCCAATTTTATTCTTTTGCATTAAATAGCTAAATACAAAGCAAAAATTAACACAAAAATCACAACATTGGATTATATGTTTATATGTAGCTATAATACATATGACAGGAATAGCATAAAGAATATGGAAAGGGGTAAATAATTTCTACATTTTACTAGAGATGATAGAATATTAACAAATGAACTGAAAAAAGAAAGATGGGATGTTCTTCTAGTAGAGAGTAAAGAAACAGTAAGAAAAGCTTGCAGAAGTGTTTACATCATAAAATACTGTATAGAACAGAACCAAATGAACTATAAGTAACTAAAGAAGAACACAATACTACACATTATCTGTTCTCACCTCCAGAGAGAAAAAGAGCAAAACAAAGTAAGCTGTAGTCCTAAAGACAAACTAGATACTATTGAGAGAAAGAGATGAACAGAAATAGAGTAGGAAAAAGAAAATACATACAATAAATCGTTTTGTTTCAAACTAGGAAATTGCCTGTGAAGATCTATTTTAATA